CTCCCGCCCCCGCCTCCTCCCCGCCAAGGTTACTTCGCGCCGAGAGAGTCCTATACCCGACAGGGCCCCGTGGAGGTGGGCACGCCCGCCCCTCTCGCCCGCATCCGGGTTGCCTACCGACCGGACGGCGGGCGCTCGGCTGGACCAGCAGCGCCACGCCGCGCCACCCCACGCCGCCGGGGGCAGCGGAGCGTGACTAGCCAGCCGCGCGGGCGGAGTCCTTTCAAGTTTGGAAATGTAACTGTGTTTGTGGGTCTTTGTGTTTACCGAATGACGGGAAATATGCATTTCAATGTGACCGCATATCAGTGCAGTCCGCCGGTTATCGGCTCCACTCCTCCGTTGTATTGGCAGTATTGTAGCAGCTTTTCCGTTCCTCTCCTTTGCAATTTATCTTCTTTATCCTCTTTTGTGTTATTTTTCCGTTTAGTTTTCATTTCATTCGTTGTCTGCGCGTTCGCCGCCGCTTTATGTATTGGCGGGGAGGTAAGAAGGGACGGAGGGGGGAGGGGGGGAGGGGTGAATGTGGGGTTTCATCTGACAGTTCGTCTCCTCTCCCCACAGCAGCCGGTTAGCTCAGTGTGATCTCGCACACCTGGCAAACCCACGTTTATCTGAGGGAATCTCTCTCCATCCTTTTCCTGTCTCTCTCTCTCTCTGTCTCTCTCTCTCCCTTCCTCTCTCGGTGCTATAGGTCTCAAAGAGCAGCTCAGACGCTGCGATGGGTTGTCGCGACGACCTCCATATATTCTCTCTCTCTCACTCCATGCGACGATGGTCCAGAGAGGACTTGGCACTGAGGGGGAGAGGCATCATTTGTCACCCATCGGCTCACCCCTCCGCCTGCCCTACCGCCGCCGCGCTGGGTGCTGTGGGGCCGCGGATGGGGTGGGGGGCAGCGATTGTCACGCCCTTGCCCCCGTCCGTACATCATCCCAGTGCATTACCAGGGTCCCCCAACCCCCTCACCCCGTCCCCTCCACTCTATTCTCCTTGGGACCAAATTACCTGCTGCTCAGCACGTTTGGATGACGCTCTGGAATCCTGACGATCCGCCGCACAGGGACACTCTCCTCCTCCTCCTCCTTACCCTTCAGCCTGGAAAATCGACAGAATACTGGCGCTGCTCTACCGCGTCGCGCCCGACGGTGCTTTTTGCTAAAGCTTAATCTCCTGTTTTACGCCCCCAGCATTTTTAACACCCTTTTTCATGTTTTATTGCTCGCTGGAGTGAGTGCCCACTTGAGCACGGGAAGGGGCCTCGCGGAACTGGCTGCTGCCCACATCCACCGGATACCATACTTTCGCGGTCCCCTTGTCCCCTACCGCCCTCCCCTCTCCTTCTCCCTTCACTTCCCTCAATAACTATATTCCCCCTCCTTCCTCCATTTCCCACTTTCGACCACCCCCCAGTTGTTTACCTCGGGAGTAAATAACAAGTGGGATGATGAGCGAGACAGATGGGCTGCCAACGTAACGACAGCAATCTGTGGCCCGACCCCGACCCCCACCCAGCCCCCCTTTCCCTCTCCACTCCGGCTGCTGCGGTGCGCGGCGAGGTCCGCTCGTGGCCCACTGCTCGCTATGGCCTGCTACGGCCTCTGCTATTATTGTCTCAACCCCCTTCCTCCTTCAAACTCTGCTGGGCCGTTCGGACTCTTTCACTGTAAAAAACTTCGTCTGAGTTTTTGAGGAATAAGGGCAATCTTTTGAGGAACTCCTTTAGCTTGTGGAAGTCCAACTCCACAAAGTTGTGAATTTACACAATTTTTGGAGCAGACTCAAAATGAAGAGTTTTCCTCATACCAAAGGCGTCCCTCAAAGTTAACTCTTTTCCCGTGAAAAATTGAAACCTTGTTTTATGGTCCACAACAATATCTTCTGTGTGCTGAGCGCAACGTGAATGTTTGTTTTATTATTTTTGGCAGGCTAGAGGAGAGCCTTTAAACAGAGCGCTATGGCGCTACAGGGCAGTGTTTTGTGTCTTACACACTTCGGCCGGTTAATTTCCGCCTCTTAGCGCAAAGGAAAATCCATTTCTATGCTCCCCACCTCCATCCTTGCTTTCCCTTTCCGCTCCACCCCC